GGTTCAGGTCTTTGCTGGGAGTTTGGAATGTCCAAACAAAACCACTCCTTCCATTGAATAGTTGCCACTCAAAGCACATGAAAGTGTGCTTAATTCATAATCTAGTGAACGCAGCAGTAAAAAAAGTATTGTTCATTCGGTGAGTTTATCTCTTCATCGTCTTATGGAAAGCTTCAAAAGGGCAGGATATCCTCGGGAAGATATTTTAAGACAGTTGTTGTAGCTGATATTTTCGAAAAAAGGCAGATAAAAACGGTAACAATCCTTATAAGCGGGTACTCATTCACTACTTTCACAAAATCTCCAACAACATAAAAGTGTTATAGCCAACAGGTTTAATGTTGGGACTGCCTTTTGCACAGATTTTGGGATGAGCCGCGTGACCCCCTTCGTGTCAATAAGCACAGTTTGTCAAAAGAAACACAAAGAAAAAGTCGTGGAGTGTGTGTCAGGGATGTACTCTATGAGATACCTTGAGTGTAAACTATGTTATACAGACACGTAGCCAGGATTTTGATTGGGTGGGGGGCGCCCATGAGAAAATGAGGTATGTTCTTATATATCGTGTATGATTCATATGTGTCTACTGGACACAAGAAATTTCTCAAACAAAGGGCTTTTTCACTCTAGGACCGTGTTCCAGTGTCAGCCTTTCAGGCACGCGACGTCATGTCTAGAATCGCCACGTGCCATAATTTCTGGACTATAATCCGCAAAGGCAAATTTGAGGTCAAAAATAAAGGTTGTGCTTCGATAATCCGCACCCCTGTGTGTAATCCGCACGCCGTGCCTAATACAAACACAAAAATGATCATACACTGGACTTCTCGACAAATTTATGCTTTCTTAGCTCATAAAGAAGCTTGTTTTAAACATAGATCACCATTTATATACTCTGTTTTCCATAACATTTCCTACGTCTTAACAGTGAACGATCTAGGAAAAGGAAGTATCATTGAAAAACGGGTAAAATGTCAACTTTTCATCATGTTGAACACACGGACTATTATCTGAAAAGTACGGTACTCCTTTCATGCTTGTTCTTTTTTCTTTCCTGTTGCTTTCTGAGCCTTCGTAGCTGACGAGGTGTTCTCGAAACGTCTTGAACTCCTCTGTCCTCCCTTTCCTGTTTTCTTTGTTTTTGTCTTTGTTTTTCATCTTTTCCTCACACTTGCGTTGCGTGGCAAACGAAGCTTTCGGCAAAGGTACCTGGCAGACGGCAACCCGTGTAGAAAACAAAAATCAAGCTGATTTAAATCAAACCTTTTCCCCAAAATAACCAAAAATATATTTTTTTATTACCGTTTGTCCATCATTTGGTGATCTGCACGTGAATTTGCTTTGTATTTAAAAGAAGAAATCACCAAGCAAGGAAGATTCATATCAGGTAGACACGATTTCCAAATAGTGATCTTCTGAGCAAATCGGAACGCTGAGCTTCCTTTCTATTATTCCCTTCGTTCGTAAGATACGTAAGGTCTTATTTCAAGTAAATAAGAACAAAAATACTTACAATGGAAATGTAATGCCCAATTGCTAGAAAATCAAAAGGCAAACTAAAAAGCATACAAAGCTTTTTTCACACTCTAGATATATCGAGCCGTCTTCTTTGCTATTGGGGGTCTACGTAGTAAAAAAGACTTTAATGAAATTGTACTTTAAATGTACCGTAATTCTTTCTTCCTGTGTCGTTTTCAATGAACCGACGGTTGGTCGACCAATCTGTTGTGTTTCGAAATGCATCTAGTGATAAAAGGCGCCATATTATGGCTAGAATTATTTAAATCAAATTAATCTTATTTAAATCAAATAAATCTGCCATAAATAAAGTAAAACTGATTTACTTGATGTTATGAATACGTCATGGTTTCTTTTCCACCCTGCGACCAAGTTCCTTTGTCCGTGGCACGCTTCACTAAATCATAGCTCGCTTTTGTAAGAACGGAATCCTGCATTAAAGGGACACTCAAGCGGTTTTTGGAGAAGCTACTTTTTGGTGCGATGGTGTTAAGGAAGTGTCAGTGAACGAGTATCTTCAGTTTTAGAAGGCAGAAACGCCTATTAATCACGCAGGAATAAAATACGTGCGGACTCTTTTCTGTACTTGCGAGGACCAATGAAATTATCGTATGTTTGAAAATTTTGGCGGTCTTTTTAAAGTTTCGCTGAAAAAACAATTTTCAGTACATTTAAATATGTTGTGCATGATAATTTCACAAGACGTAAAATATTTCTAGTTTAAAATACGCGAGAGCGCAATTATCGTTTCACAAACAAGGGACTACGTTTTCTATTTGCCTTCCTCCGCGGGGGGTGAATTTCCCGTTCCCCATGGATGCGCGGAAGCGCACGTATCTCCGCGCGTTGCAGGCCGGTCGTGCCGGTCGCGGGCCGGCCGGCTCCTTCTATCCGCAAACGTGGCGTCGGTGGTGATCGTCGGAGTGGACGGCCTGGTGAAAGCTCATCGTTCCGCGTAAAAGCGCTATCCTTGACTGTGAATTTTCGTCGTGTTTCGCTATGATAACCCAGCACGTACTAGAAGGGAACATCCACCTACTCGTGCGGCGATGTCGTGGCGGCACTCTCAAGATAGCAGAAACGCCCGTGCCATCGTGTTTGTTTACTTCGACTACAGTGGTGCTTTCTAAGCATTTGTGTCCTCGAACATCGCCCGGATTTCTGATTTGGCGCATTTCATGCGTGTGCTCAAGTTCAAGGTATTACTGGCGCGTACCGTATAAAGGATACAAATTTTCACGCGTTTTCATCACCGGAGAAAAGTGATTAGTGTTAGCAATCCTGAACGCTCGCAACGTCTATCTGATCACGAAATCATATTTCTACGTTGCTATATCGCTGCTAAGATTACATTGTCTTTTATAATCGTAGAAAAGGCGTGTGGCGATATTTGTACTATTGCAATGTCGTGTATTAGAGTCGTGATCGTCCAAGACGGCGCTGCATCTTTTTATTTTATTTTTTTTCATTCGCTGTACCCTGCAAGCCTATCAAGAAAAAATAATAAAGCTTTAGACTAGAAAACTGTCTGTCTATATTCTGTTACGGCGTCCCCTTTTTTAGAGGGGCCGCTGACACAGCTGACGGCGGCGTACAGAAGCGGTCGCCGTGCTGACGACCCGCTGCGCTTGTTGTAGTGGTTACAGGTGTGTGTACGCGCGGCGCAGTGCGGTCGTTCCGGTCGCTCCGGTTGCAACGGACGCAGTCGTAGGTACGCGCTCGTTGCACATGTCTGAACCAGCCTTCCCCCCGTTCTCCGGAGGCGAAAGTCAACGTGGCGACATCGTTTGACATCACGCACCAGAGATAACGCTGCGATGTCAAACGTTGGTTTGGTTACGACTTGCCCCAACCGCAAATCGAGCAACGCCCGAAAAGGTCTGCGTTTCGTCGTCCTCGGAACCCGAACATGACTCCGAAGCGCTGCCATCGTCCACATCGCACGTCGGAGTGGCGTCATACGAAATCATCCTCAGGTCGGCTGTCCGCCGAAGAACTTCAACCTCTAACGGCGTCAGGTCCTCGAGCGTAGAGAACTCCGCCATGATCGAAGCTTGAATGACAAAGAGGTTCGGCCGATGCGGCTACCTCGGGATCACTGCGCGACGGAACGTCGTCCAACGCCATTGGCCCGAGATCCTTTTGATAAGCGTGCGACGACCAATGAGAGTGGTTTCGTTTTCGGATGGATCCGAGGTTTGGCGGCCTTCAATTACATTTTTATTAAAGAAATAATCACCGTATGACTATACTTTTTGGTTTTTAGGGATACTTAAGGCGTCTAAATTCAGCTGTCATTATCAAAACACGAACTCAAAAACCACTTGACTGCCCCTTTAATGGAAAACAAGAAAAAAAATGTGTGTGTGTGTGTGGGGAAGGGGGGGGAGGGGTTACAGTTACTAAATCAGTCATGTGTAGAAAGAATTGAAGAACGTGGGAAGCATTGGGGGGGGGGGGGGGGGGTGCGACAAAGTTACTTTTCGTGCAACAAGCGCAAGGTAATCGGTGAGGAAACAATTGGGATAAGATTTTTTCATCGCTTTCGGTCAACCATCTTTGTCCCTGTTGCTCGAGGGGCTAAATTCAGCGCACACCCACGTGCTTCAGGAGTCCCTAGTATTTACCGATTTAGTGGTATTAAATAGAGCTCAGCAAGTTTTTAACTAAAATCATGTTTCTTTAAGAAATTTAAAAAAAAAAACTTTTTTTTAAAACTTAGTATAACGATTTGCACTTCTTGATTAGGTCCCCCTGGCGTTATAACTCACCTGCAGAGACAGCATTTGTTAACGTTATACAATATTTTGTTATCTGTTTGAATTAAAACTAAACGCGCTGTATAATAAAAACCCAAACAATAAGTACCTAAACATCTAAAAAGAAAAAAAGTACGCATTGCCGAACAACTATTCGTTGAAATACGGCACCAGCGGTCTGGACAATAGATGCCAAGTTTCAATGCTTGTAGTATTTTGCTTTAAAGGTTAGAATCGATTTCCGAAAATTTTGAATGGGGAAATCACAGCCGACGGGACCCAAAATGACACGAAGCTGAATGACTCCGGCTAAGCTAAACATGGCCTCATTTTCCTCAAAAGATTTCCGTAAAAACGGTTAGTCCTGAAACGGTTCGACGGTTGGTTCTGAAACTTTGGCACCTAGTCTGGACCGTTGGTGCTACCTTTTACGTGGAGACTGAGAGTTGGGCGATGCGTAAATTAATTTTTGTGGTAAAAAAAAAAAAAAAAGAGAAAAATGCCGACCGCTTTTTGCCGTGACACGTCGCACACTACATTACGCTGGTGAGCACTATGCTTTGACTTTCAGCGGTGAATTGGCCAACTTTGTGAAAAGTGTCAGTTGTTTCAATTACACGATGTCAGTCAGGCAGACAATTTTGAGAACCGCTTTATTTTCACCATCACAGCACGGGGTCAACGACCATGCGTGTTCTCGGCGTTGTTAGATCATGCCCCAGTTTACTGTCCGGCATTCCCGCAGTTCGTCTCGCAGTCCGCGAGGGTCGCGAACTTCTGGCAGTTGTGAGGTCCGGTCTCCGACGGGATGGTCTCGCACTGCCCGGTGGTCGGGTTGTATTGGGCGGTGGAAGTCACGATGTGGTTGGGGTCATTCTCGCCCGGATCGGTGCAAGCTACGGGAAAGGAAAATGAAAGCTTATTGAAGGTTTTCGCAACCGTCGAAACCACTTCACTGAGAAAAAGATAGAAAAGAATAAAGAAAGGAAACATTGCTAGCCGCCCGACTATGAATGCCTTTAACGAGTCTCCCCAGCTCTCGTGTTTGTCTCGCTCTAAGAAGAGGTTCCTCGATCTCCGTCTGATGACGTCATACGAGGGCTCCAAAAAGGGACGCTGGGAGAGTAAGTAGGAGATAACTACAACCGCCATGAGTGGCCAGCCCCGCGCTACGACTGAGACCAGCGCCATGTTCAAGCGCGGCGCCGTTCAATCGCGGCAGTGGGTGGCAGTGCACGGGCCGGCGATTTAAGGGGGTCAGAGCAGCAGTGGTGTGTGTTGTAGACGCCTGTTCTGCTGCAGGTCGCTCTCCAGCTTCACAGTTCCCGGAAGCTCCAGCAGCCGAGAGCAATAGCGAGCGTCATAGCATCAAGGAGTGAAGCGCTGTGAGCATTGAAGACCCTATAAGCTTGCATATAACGTTTATACATGAAAATGGAGCCCCGGCGGGGCTCGAACCAGGGTCGCTGCGGTGGCAGTCCAAAACTATACAAATAGGAACGGAGGTAGAGGCGAATCTGTCTATATTGTTGCCTCTTCTCACCGTTTGAACCCCACCGCTGCCGCACTCCATGATGCCGGCGTTCAAAGAGTGACTATATAGGTGGCAAGCGCAGCTAGACTAGAGTCTACGCGCTAATTATTCCGACCAAAGCTGGCTGCTCTGACCTCGCCTGCGCGCTCTCGTCTTCTGCTCTCCCTCAGCTTCTATCCGTATATATCCACTGAGCCACTAGAACGACTCGTCTGGAAGTGTAAAGGATTTTATTTGCATGCAAAATGTGCCGCCGAGAAAGGTGGGCTTGAAATCAACATATAAAAAAAACTTTAAAAAACTAAAATAAAATAAATAAACTATCTTTATACTGGTTTTAACCAAAAGAATCAATGAAGTTTTGCGCATTGTTGATACGCCGCTCGAATTAGTTCTTTCACGATTTGGTTGTCGTAGAAAGAGGCGATGCTTTCGGCGTGCGAATGATGTATGGCTGGATTAACTGATATGTATCAAATCGAAAGTGCACTTACATATATCTGAAGTCACCAGGCTCAATCTAAAATGGACCGTAAAAATCAACACCTTCACGAGGCAATCGAAACATCTCGTCAAAGGTGTATTTTACAGGTCCGTTTTGTCTTGAAAAATTGAAATGCGTAGCGCCCATTCTCTTAAAAAAATAGGGTAGAAGAAACTTGCCAGGGTCATTGGCGAGCGGCGACGCAGACGTCTGAGTTGAGTGGCGGGGCGCGTATTGATAAATGGCGCCACCTCCTTATCGAAGCTGCTCGTCACGACCGTGATTTACTAAAACAATGATAATCTTCTTGTAGTGTACCTCCGGGTTGAAAATAAATGCGGACAATTAAAGCAAAACTTGAAGGTAAAAAACACAAAAAAAAACGCGGTTGCACAACGATGACGTTCTTAATGCCGACGGATTTCGTGCGCGTGTCGTCTGCTATCTTTCGCTGGTCGGCTACACCTGCAGACGCTGCTCCCGACGCCATCTATCAGTACGTGCGCCAAACGCGCCCCACCGCTCGACTCAGAATTCTGCGTCACCGCCCACCGTTGATCCTGGCAAGTTTTTTGGCCCTATAATTTTACAGAAAGGAAGCTACGCTTGACGAAAAGTTTAGATCGCTTCGCGCAGGCGCCGATTTTTTACGGTCCATCTTAGAACGAGCCTGGTGACTTCAGACACCCCCTTTTATATCTCAATTCTCGACACATAAAATGAGAAATCGGGGATGCTCTGCGAGGAACCGGACTTTTTTTTTACTACACCCCTTGAGGTGAAAACGAGTATCGGACAAGCTACACACGGAGTGTTTCTTCTTGGGGGGGGGGGGGGGGGGGGGGGGGGGGGGTGACATTCAGTGCTTTTTGGTCTATGCCAGCATGACGAAGCCTGTTTATGTATGGTCGGCGTAGGACGCTAAACACACCACTCAAAGAAGCGTTGCAGTCACCGCGTAATACGACTTCTAAAGTCGAGCTACACTCTAAAAAAAGGGTATCCCCTTACACCCTTTTGTCCCATACAATACACCCCAAAACTTCATTTCGACGTACACGTACCGCGCCCTATAGTCGAACAGACGGCCCCATATTACTTGATAGCGGTGCGACATACCTTTTTAAATAGCTAAAGTACGTATCAAAGGCCACGTAAAGAAAATACCGAGTTTTTGCAGTAGGACCGAGAAAACACCGATTATTTTTTCTGTAATCAGTAACACGTACATTAGCTATTTTAACAAGTTGTACCACACGGCTATCAAGCCCCTCGTAAAATATGGGGCCATCTGTTCGAGTATAGGGCGCTGTACGTCGAATTGGATTTTTGGGGTGTAATATATGGGACAAAGGGTGTGAGAATACACCTCATTTTCTCAGAGTGTATTACATCAACACCACCTAGAAGAAAAGGCTCGCGCCATCCCTCCCCCCTTCTCCCCCCCTCCCCCCTCCCTTTTCCCACGTCATCACGAAAGAATCCAGGGAGTTCCGGCTAGTTGGCGTCAGCATCGCCATCAGTACATCTTGCAGCGCCTCACAACGAGCGCGACGCTATGCTGAGAACATGTCGTCTGCTTGTTGCGCAGAAGTTGCGGTGACGTCAGAAAGACGCCGAGCTCTGATTGGCTCTGATAGTAGGACAGAGGGTAGACCTCCAACCAAGTTGCTTTGACGTCTACCCACTATCATTCACTCAGAACCAGTCAGATATCCCCGTTCTGACGTCAACACATTTCTACAAAAGAAGCAGACGAAATTGTGCTCTGCATAGCAAGTGAAGATGCCAAGGAGGACGCGTTTTCCGGTTTGTGGGGTCTCTCGTCCGGGTTCCGCGTGTTGGCCGCTTATAGAGCGGCTGGCAAACGACTCAAACAGTATCACCTACTTTGAGGATATGCGCAAGTGTGCTGAGGTCCGGTGGCTCCATTTGTTCCTGAAATCAGGTTGAACACAAAGAGCAAGCGTATCAATAAAAGCACGAGTCGACCTGCGAATAACCGTAGAGCGGGGGTGAGACTGCGCATGCGTCATACAAAGTACAGTCTGCAAACACGAGTCACCGCAATATCCGTGGTTCGAATGCCGCGTGCCAAGTTTCTCCTTGAACTCGTTGCCATGCGGCATTCGAAGTATGGATCTCGTGGTGACTCGAGTATAAATCTGTATACAGACTGTCTTTTGTATGATGTATAAGCAGCGTGACTCCGGCTTATCTGTCACAATTTAAAAATTATTTTCGCTCGTATTAATGTCTAGTGCTGAATTTTGAGAGCCTTCGTACATTCAGACGGCATACCAACCTATGACAATGCGCAGAAAAAACTGTGTCGAAGACAATACTCACTGCGTATCACGGCAAAACAGAAGGCCAGCAGGAAGACCACCTTGATAGAGCTCACAAAGGTAGCTGCCATTATTTCTGCTTCTTCGACTGTTGTTGAAAGAGAGGGCGGGTGATGACCACGGTGATACTCCTCGTCTTTTATACACTTTTCCCACAAGGCAATCGCTGGTTCGCGTGACTGTATGCGGGGAAACAGGTCATTGAATCTACGTCATTAAATGAAACATTTATATACCTATATTTATAACTACAACGTCCGGTGTGTGCCACGCGCGTGTTCCCAGTAACAGTAATAGGTCATCAACCGCTTTTCCTGCCGACCTTGCGCAGGGGGGAGGCTGAAAAAGAGGCCTCACCATCGTTAATGGGAGTTCGCATTCACGATGCATGGGCAGTTTGGCAAACAGTTTTACGGTCAGACCTCCTGCTATTCCCAGCAAGGTTTACGCCGGAAACTGCGAAAGCACCTGTTTTCAGAGGACGGCAGAAGACTACTTTCAACCTTTATTTTGTCGGTCCGTTTCGCCACGGCACGTGATGACTGATTTTGAAAATTTTAAGTCTGCACCGGGTAACACGGGGCCACCGAAGAAGAGAAATTAAATGGGGACTCAAGTTTCTGAGAGTAGTATCAGACAGCTTAAGCAAGGTAGGGCGTGTCATGTGATGTTAATTGAAGCTTCTTGCTTCGTGAGTCATTTCTCGACGTTTTGTCGACTAATTCTGAGGATATCTTTGATTGCTGAACGACAATAAGAGGAATGAGGACCCGGAACGCTTTGGGTTTCAATAACTTACATAGACTAATACAATTTCTGTATACGTTTTGATACGCTGAGTAGACAAATGGCATGAGAAAACGTCTCTTTTCAGCTGATCTGCAGGAAAGCTTAAAATACAATCATATCGGCTATTTTTCTACCCGGCGATAGTAGACGTAGAGGGGTTGTGGAATGAAACAACAACAAAGCTGCAGCTAGACAGCTTTCCGAGTCTACAGGCTCCGTTTCAACATTAACTAAACAACACCATCGCGAAATAAACAAAAGAAAGATAGAATTCACCAAAATTGAGTTAGGCACAACTCGGTACCACAGGTTTGGAACGAAGGGGTCCGCCCAGACACCGAGAAGACTCGCGCCATCGTGGCATTTCCAGCGCCGACATAGAAAGGAGGCCGTACTAAGATTCCTTGGAGTTTGTGCCTAATATCGACGCTTCGTTCGGGATTTCGCAAGGATTTTCGCACCGCTCACAAACCTCACGAAGGACGTCGAGAAGCTCGAATGGACTGAGGAACAGCACCAGGCAATCGACGAGCTGAAGCGAAGACTCCAGGATTTTCCTGTTTTTGGACACATCGATCAGGATGTGGAAACGGAGATTCACATGGACGCTAGTAACGCAGGACTTGGAGCGGTACTGGTTCAAGTGCAAGAAGGCACCTAGCGAGTCATCGCCTACGCAAGTCGGACGCTATTCGGGGCTAATTCGAGGTTAGAATGTTCTACGCCCTCTACGCCGAACCTTCTACGCCGAATGTTCCAGAAACACACGCGGGTACAAAAGGTGCTCCGGATGGCGAGCAGGAGTCAGTCTCGCCCCAGCGTTCGATCCTGCTGTTTCGGCGACATCGACGCCTGCGACGCTAGCCTTTATCTATTTTGTTTTGGGCACAAGTTCGCCCCATTAAACGTTTAGTTTTCTTCAGTTTTCGTCGCCTCATCAATTGTCATTGGTGACTATATATATATATACATATTTTTTTTTTCACATCTTTGAGAATGATTTTACGTTTTGGGAGGTAACCAGGACACGCCAAAAGTGGATCGTCGCTCATTTTCTTTGTGCGTTTGGTTATCATCGACTAAATCAATCCCGTATAGAAAAGAAAGAAAGTCGCAGTATAACGGGGCATACATTTACGGCGTGATTTTAGCCGAGTTGCCGAACGCGAAAAGACGATGAGTGCCATGACGAAGCACTTTTGCCGAAACTTGATCTGCGTCATTGAATCGTATCGACAGCTGCATGCGCTCCGACTAAAGCGTGAGACTGAGGATAGTTTTTATTTCACGCCGTCCACCACCAACCACGCAAGCGCAATAAATTCTGTTGCTGCTGAACCTTATGCGGAGGGCAAGTTCGTCTGCTTCTTGCGCAGGGGGTAGCGGTGACGTCAGAACGGCGAGCCCTGATTGGCTGATCGCGACCCCCTATCTGAGCGTCGTCTGCTCCTTTGCAACGTCGTCTGCTCGCAACGTTGCGAGCAGACGCTACTTCCTTTCTCATGCGTAAATGACGAAAATGAGCCCACTTGCGAGGCGTATTGATCTATGGGATGGCACGAAGACCTAATTTGGGGTAAAAAGAGAAGGGTTACATAAAGATTCTGCGCAAGCTGAAAAAAAAAATAGGAAAAAAATTATTTACGAGACTTTTAGCGGATTGCGAAATAGTAAGAAATAACAACAAAACGCACCCTTTCGCGTGACTTTTTATTATGTCGTTGCCAGCTTCAGGGAATGAGATGTACGCACGTACGAAATTCGAGCCAGGATGTTCAGCCGGGAACACATTTGCAAAAAAAAAAGCCGAATTTTTGTGCGAAAACCGCACACGAAAATCGCACGGCAGCTAGACTTCCTTTGCTCCTCCCCTTTTCCGAAAATCGGGAGCGGTTCAAAAGATCTGCAGCGCCAGATAATTTCACAGGCGCCTTCGGATTCGGGGCGGAGGAGCTTGGTGAGCGAAAGCCCGGAACAGGACGGAACGAAAATATACGATCGGCTCGCAACATGGCGGCTCACGCAGCTTCGGAAGCAGCGCAGGCAACGTCCGTCGTATGCCATTCCTGCGTTCTCATCTCAACCTTCGTAGGAAACTCCTTCCGTCTCTTTCAAAGGGTGTTGATACAAAGGCTCGCGTGGCATTCAACGAGGTTTTAATAGCTGAAGCTTTTAAGAGGCGCGAAATATGGGACGCCAGTTCGCCAGACTACCGAACAGCCTCCTGAAGTCGGAGCACGGAAACCGCAGTGCATTGCGATTTCCACGCCGCGCATTCCACCTCATGTGGCTCGTCTTCCGAAAATCGCAAGGTACGATTTTCGCAGTCTCCGATTCCTCTCCGATTTTCGGTTCGTTTTTTCGCAAATGTCTTCCCCGCTTTATTGTCGGTTGGCATAATAAGAAAAAGAATATGCCGAAGGAATTAACGGTTGCTATATCCGTTCAGAAATTACAGGTAGCTTTATTTCACTGTCATTATATTTTTTGATTGGTATTTTAATATTGGATATCTGTTACCGAGCACTTAAACGGCTGCTGAACCGAAATCTGGATTCCACAAAACACGGCGGCAAAAGCGTGCAACGAGATGGTATACGAACACCCAAACGTCACTCATACAGCGATATCTCGAACGGATGACCGTGTTTTTTAAAAAAAAGGAGGCTCATTTGACAGATATGTTTACGTCTTGTTTTTCTGAGAAGGAGAGATGACGGCCTCGCGTCTTCTCGGCCTCGCCGCCTTGAGGAAGCGAAGCAAAGAGAAAAGGAAACAAGATATATTGACGTCACGCGCCTCGTCGGCCTCGTTGAACCTCGACCTCTTTTTCCGAAAATACGGCCGTCCATTCGAGATATCGCCTTACGAGTAGTGTTGTAGGGATTGCAGGCGTCCCGCCTACATCTCCTGCATTTTTTTTTCTTTTTTTGAAATCCAAATTTCGGTTTACCATTTACAGTAAGGCATTACATTACTGTAGTATTAGCACGTAAAATACGTAGCGAAGGCTTAAAACATCGTCGATGTCTTTACGGGACTTTTTGAGCCTCGAGCATTCTAGCGAGAGATGAGTTTCGTATTGGACTGAGAGACCTCAGGCACGTTCTGGAACATCCACCCGACGGACATGGGGTACGAAACTAGCGCTGAGTGAGCGAAGTTGAGACAACGCCTATTTAGTAGTGTTTCTGCCGCGTGCGATAGAAGCACGCTGAATTTTATATGAGGGTCGACCTCCTAAAAGATGAACTGTTGAGAATGTACACTCAAGCCATACATGTGTAAATTGCTTCCGAAATGTAATTTAATTAAAATTAAAATTACTTTGCTCCAGACTACAATTGAAATTACTACTACATGAAAGGAATCTATTACAATTACAAATTACTTTCTCAAAGTAATGCAATTATTTCACAATTAGTGATTTTTGAGAGCGGCCAGACTTCGATCATATAACTTTAAACGAGTTGTATAGAAGGCAACACATTCGTTCTTTCCTTGCCCCAATGTTCGAGGACCCTTAAGCATCGCTGCATAAATGTCACGTATCGGACTTTGCATTTATGAATTTTGTTGAACACATGATAGAGCTTGGCAGTTTGGGGCATTGAACTATACTACGTTCTTATACCTTTATTAAATAATAATCAATTAGTTCATATTCTGGAAGACGTCATATGGCTACAGAATAAATTGGGTTGAGAGGCTTTTGTTAGCCAGGCAAATAAAAATGCGACAATCAGTTATGTATGAATATTTTACAAGTGTTAATATGAAACTAAAATCCACACGCGCTAATACGACCAAATTCACATACAAACATCATGAAAGGGATCTCGGCATCCTATACCGATCGTTCTATTTTGTTTCCAAAGGTTAACGCATTGTTGGTTCAGTTGTTGACTGCACTCGCTTTTGAGGCACTTGGTGACTGGATTCGATTTTGAGGCGAAATGAAGAGAGTTTCGTAAAATGGAAGCTGCCGATAATATTTTTGTTAGCTTTACCGTTGTGCAGTGTTCTCATTGTATACATGTGGCGTGAATTCTAAAAAGAACATGGGTGATCGCTCATTTGAGAGCGATTTGCATAAGAAGCTTCAAAAATATTACAAAAAAAGGACAAATTACGTGGAAGTTACCACTCGTGAAGCAGGCGCAAAGCCAGCAGTGGCAGAACAAGAGAATTATCTAATCATCCGCGTTCCGCCACTGCTAGCTTTGCGCCTGCTTCACGAGGGGTAACTTCGGTGCGCCCCTGAGTTTCCCGCGAGCTTCAAGTTGTTCTAAAAAGAGTTGATATAGTGGTTCTCTATGACGCTTTGTAAGTTTCTAACGTGAACTATATGTATACTTTTACTAATTGAAAAGCTATTTAACAAAGTTTAACTAATAAGCACACTTATTGTAAAGATTCGCCACCCACAAAATGTCCCCCTGGCCGTATAACTCACGTGCACAAACCGCATAGGTGTGACTTTCACCGATTTTTTAAAACAAATTTGTAAATGTTAAAAAAAAAAACAAAAAAAACGAAAATTGAAACTAAAAAAGCGAAACGAAACCGTTACCAAGAGGAAGCGGTAACCGTAGCCGTAACCGAAATGTTATATTTTTCGGTTTAGGTCCCTAATATATATAAATATATCAGGGACCTAAACCGAAAAATATAACATTTCGGTTATATATATATATCAGGGTGTCGAACCGAACCGAACCGAACCGAAAACCGGAACCGAACCGGTATTTTTTCCGGAACTGAACCCGAACCCGAACCGTTATATTGTTATCGCGATGAACCCGAACCGGAACTGAACCGGAAAAAAAAATAACGGTTACCGGCTCATGTCAAAACGGTTCGGCCACGCGCTGTTGACGATGAATGTGCTGTCAATACCATTTGTTTTTTAAGTGCCGTCAACTGACAAACACCTCGCTTACATATTTTTCTTCTCCACTCAGTCTTAGGAATATAAACGCTGCATCCATGAATCTTGACAAACGCTGCCTCCATGAATCTTGACATAGGAACCAGTATTGCGCTGGTCGCGGCTTGCACGGAAGAAAGAAAATTAAAAAGCTGTGCAAAAAAAAAAATCGCGTCACGGGATTTTATTTTTCTACAATCTCGTAAATCCTAAATGCTGCTGTGTGCTCATTTCATAACACGTTTCTAGAACGCGCGAGTTCTTGAAGCTTGCTTCCATCGGAATGAGAAAAGAAAAGGCTGTGGAGTTTGATAATGTTTGAGGGAGAGAAAGAAATTTTATTTACAGTTGAAATGAGCATTCATGAATTATATCTGCTCTTCGCTGCCCCAACCACCGGTCAGAGTATATCGATCTATGAAGTGTCAAGATTTACATGCCGTATTTTTTCGTACCGGAAACTCGATAAATGCGGGGGAAAAAACAGGGATACAAACCCTAGTCGCTCACGGAGAAGCGAAGCTGCGCGCACTTTCGAATTTGACAAAGGATCTGCCGAGCTTCTGTTGCTTCTTTAAGGGTCTAATTTGAGTTACCGAGGGCTAGTTCAAATAAAGAAAGCTGTATTTTCTCCCCACTGTTCCTTCAATTGCTTACACGCCTAGGTGGCGGGATAGTTAGCGAGTTCTACTTGTAAGTGGGCTTGTAAGGAGGTCGCGGATTTTACAGCTACTACGTCGGACCCAATTAGATGAAGTCCGAATGCGACGGTGAGGTAACCTTTGAGTGCACATAAAGAAACCATTCCTGGTAGAAATCCCTGAGCCTTACACTACGATGTATCATGTTTCGTATGTGCTGATTTCAGATGTTTTATTTGTAATTTATTTTGATGTTGCAGTTTGTCATTTATAATTTCCGAACCGGTTCGCGAATCGGTTCAGCGCCCCGAACCGGTTCGCGAACCGGTTCGTGGATCGAATTAATCGAACCGGAACAAAATAAATTTACCTGAACCTGAACCGTAACCGAACCCGTATTTTTTTCGGTTCGACACACTGATATATATATATATATATATATATATATAACTGAGAAAAAAAAATATATATATATACCCACGCCTTCGGCCTCCCGCCATCATGCCCGTTGTATATATATATATATATATTCCCTAAAATTCTTAATTTTTGTAATTTCGCAAATTAAACAATTCGCGAAATTCGCGATACTGTAAAACCCTTCATTTTCGCGGCCCCTATTTTTCGCGAATCGGTCACAGATGACATAATCGCGACCACTAAATTTCGCGAACTCCAGACGCCTGCATTGAAAATCTTAAGGACCGAAATTTTCGCGCGCCCTTAAATTTCTCGAATTCTTCAATTCGCGAAATTCGCGAAAATTGAGGGCTCGCGAACATTAAGGGTTTTACAGTATTTTTTTTTATTGGGTGCAACTTTTTTTTTTTTAACGTAATTACGCGGATTAGAAATTTCGTGACGGTTAAACTGCATAAAAGGCGCAGCTTACCATCATAGGCACCTTCTGTACGCATCTTCGAGTTGTATTGAAAACAATAACAATGGAAGCTAAATTTGTGAGCGCGTTCAACGCGGTATTCCGGCTGGACGCAGCACCAGGGCAATTGGGGGGAAAGGGGGGGATTGATAATTTTGGGGTTGTGGCCCATAGGACTCGATGCAAAGAAATTTGTAGAGGCGTGAAATATAAATCATACGCGTCTAAAATTGTTATTACTGCTTAGTGATGTTTCATGATTGTCGTCTAAAATATTCCGGGGGAACATTACGATGTTTGTTGTTGTTCAGTCGAAATTCTCATTTTAGTGCATCCACCAAGGCGTCCCGAGAAAGTTGGGGATGATTGCACTAAAAATTGCTAGAATGGAGAAATGCGTCGGTAGGTACGTCACGATCAGGGTGTACCTAGATTACGTTGGTGCAATGCCTTGGCTTGCAACGGTGCTTTACCATCTTTGTACGTAGTGTAAGTTGCTTTAATTACATATTGTCGATGAGGCAGCCATTTTTGAGAACCGCTTTATTTTCACCATCACAGCACGGGGTCAACAACCATGCGTGTTCTCGGGGTTGTTAGATCATGCCTAGCAGACTACGCAGTTCTTTGCACTCGCGCAGTTCTTCTCGCAGTCTGCTAGGGTCGCGAACTTCTGGCAGTTGTGAGGTCCGGTCTCCGACGGGATGGTCTCGCATTTCTTAGTGGTCGGGTTGTACTGTGCAGTCGCTGTAACGACGTGGCTAGGGTCATTTGTGCCCGGATTAGTGCAAGCTGCAGGGAAGAAAAATGAAAGGTTATTGAAGGTCCTCGCACTCCTTTATAGGTTTTTGCTGAAAAAAAAAAAACACAGGAAGGACCATTAAGCGCACGACTATAATGTCTCTGACAACACGTCTCCGGGTGGTATACTTACCGATTTATAAGAAGTGGTCCCTCGATTTCCGCCTGATGACGTCATGCTAGGGTTCTAGACACTCGCCAAGAAAGTCAGTGATATTGGTGACCACCGCGATTGATCAGGCCCCGAGCTGAGATTGGCCAGCGCCAAGGTCAAGCACGGCGATGTCCAATCCCTGTGATCGGCGATCTCGTACTCTTTCTTTCCGAGGGACCAAACTGAAGCCAAAAGTGTAGGCTGTCGCCAGCCGCGAACCTGGCGGTGTCACAGACGCAGTGGTGGGTTTGGCAAACGCTTGTTTTGTTGCAGGTCAGTTCACTGAAGCTTCATCAGACAGGGGTTGTGACGTGGCGAGGACAGCGACACTCGCGTTCGCTGTTCGTACTTTTTGTTGTCACTTCTAGTTGCGGCCGCCAGGATTGTAACATCCGACAGCATGCCCCTCCGGCTTCTGTGACGTCATTTGATGCCAGTTAGCGACCACTTTTGATGTGTGGGCGAGTCAGGACGCTAACCACATCATTTGAAGGCGCGTTGAAGGTACCATAATGTGACTACTAGCCTCGGGGTAATGAATACACAACCTAATATGCGGTGCTACGCTCATCCGAATAGAGACGGACATCTGCGTGGATCAAAAATGGTTTGGACAAAGTACCCAACCTAGCATAAGAATTTAGACACTGCAGTGGTTCGAGACAAAAGAGCCTAGAGGTTCACCTTAATTTGCCGCGATGTCACTGATTTGGTTCATAATCTTTCAGTCTGTTCAACCGAAAGTTTATGTTGGAGAGCTTCATACTTTAAAACCTTTTTGAACTTTACTTTTCTGAGTTGTTTTGGAGACATCACACCATCTTTAGCATAAACATATATATATATTTTTTTTAATTTGCGGGAAAGGTGAAAGTCTAGTATTTTAAAAAAATGTCATGCGAAATACGACATTTAGCATGACATTTTTTTTAAATACTAGACTCAAGGACAATTCTAAGTAAAGTATTTAAATGAATTTCTATGTTAATCTATATACTAATATTTTGTACTACATTCAGCGCTCATGGTAATAAAGAGTCTGCATTAGTATACACCCTCAAATAAAAGCAGAAAAAACAAACGATCTATAAAGACCCAGACAAGTACTTTTTTTATTAAAGTGATGAGTGAAAGGCAGAGAGCTAAGCCTGGAGTTCTGTCCTAGCTGGCTACTCTGCACAGGGGAAAGGATTACGGGATGAAAAGGTAAGAAGAGGTGCGTAATGAATATGAGAAGAGAGAGCTGAAAGGATGATGGGTTGAATAGTTAAAAATATCAGTCTCTGCCTACAGGGATTGCATCACCCGGGTGTCCTCGAGAAATCGTACCAGGGCTTTTGTGGCTTTCATTGAATGTTCCGTGGACTGCCACGAGCCCAACACTTTGTCACTGGAGACAGGTCGGTCGTCTAGCCTCTGAATTGTTCTGTGAAGGTCTTCTCTTTCCACGGCGTAGATGGCATATCCACAGATAAGGTGATTTGCAGTTTCCTGGACACCGCAGACTGGGCAGTTAGGGCTGTCTCTTCTTTTTAGTCGATGTAGGAAGTGTCGGGTAAACGCCACCCCCAGTCGAAGTCTGTGTAGTACTGCCTGGGACCTGCGTGGAAGTCCAGACGGATATCTAAATGTCACATGTGGATCGAGGGCGTATAATCGGGAGTGGTGGTATTCGGGATCAGCCCATAGATGTGATGTCAGGAGTTTGGCTACGTTACGCACTGGTGAGTTAGCTTCTGACTTGAAGTAAGGAATTTTCAGGGTGCACACATTTTTATGGGCAGATTTAGCCGCTGCATCTGCTGCCTCGTTGCCAGAAATCCCACTATGGCTTGGAATCCATTGGAGGCGCAGATCATGTCCTTTAACTCGGCAGCGGTTTAAAAGTAGCATGATGTTCAAACCAAGTTCTTGGTATCCGCTAGGTACCATAGCCGATTGTAGAATTTTCAAGGACACTTTGGAGTCGGTGAAGATTGTCCATGTTTGAGGTTGTTGTTTCTCGATACACTTCACCGCTTCTTGAATGTCAATCAGTTCGCTTGTTGTTGAAGATGTTTTGTGACTTGGTTTGTGCTTAATAGTTATATCTCTGGTAGGAAACACAGCAGCGGCTGTTGAGCTCATTATACTTGTAGAACCATCGGTGAAAACGTGTATACGAGATATATGAGATCCATAGAGTTCGATCATTGTATGTTGGTACAGCACCGCCTGAGGAGTGTTGCGTTTTGTATGGTTCCCAGGAATTTCGAAGGATATTAGCAGCGCAGGTATGGTCCAAGGTGGAGTAGCCGCAATTTCTGGTGTTAGAAACCTTGATGGAAATTCTTGTTGGTACAGTGCTCAAACACGAGCATAGTTGGACGATGGTCTAGATGACATAATGTCGGCTAGATAATGTCTTTTATGTCTGGTTAGATGCCGTAAATGTATTCTTAAGGTTTCTTGAATTTGAAGAACACATGCTGGGAAGTGTCGGGATTCGGCTATAATGCCTGGCGTGGACGCTGACCGAGGGAAGCCAAGACAGCAGCGCAGGGCTCGAGCCTGTAGGCTCTGTAGCATCTTCATATTTGTTTTGCACGTGCCGTTGAAAGCGGGGAGGCTGTAGCGCAAGATGCCCCCAAACATAACTTGGTAAAGACGCAGCAGGGCAGGAACTGTCGCTCCCCATGTTGTGCCGCTGATGAACCGGGCTAGTAGGACAAACGCTGAGAGCTTCTTCTTAAGATGTTGAATATGGGGCGTCCATATCAGACCCCGATCAACGACGACGCCTTTACGGAAGGTACGAAAAAATACCTTTACGAATGGTATTTTTTCTTTGCAGATAGCTAGAGGGTATTTGTCCATGCTTCGGCGTGTGAACGCGATTGCAGCGGACTTTGATGTTGATATATGTAGTCCCCTGTATTTTAAGTAATGATGCAGGATATTGAATGTTCTCTGAAGTCTTGCTTTTATATGCAATCGCGTAATTCCGGACGCCCAAATACAAATATCATCCGGATAAATCGAAGCATGAACTGTGTTAGGAAGTGTCTTAACAAGGCTTATGAGCGGTTGTCTGAAAAGTGTTGGGCTCAGCACTCCTCCTTGTGGTACTCCCTCGGTTACGCGGAAGAGTCGTGTATTTCCAGATTGTGTGGAGATGTAAATAAATCTGTTGTCGAGATAGCTGGATATCCAGCGGTATATATGACCACCCAGTCCAAGTTCTTCTAAGATTTAGAATGGCCCTATGAGTGATAGAATCGAATGCGCTCTTGATATCTAAGAATACAGCGGCACACATGCGCCCCTCCGACTTAGATTGTTCCACTGAAGTCACGAGATCAATTACGCTGTCAATAGAGCTTCGGCCTCTCCGAAATCCGGACATTATATTTGGGTAATACCCGTTTTGCTCTAGATACCATTCGATACGAAAGAGGATCATTTTCTCCATCAGTTTACCAATACACCTCGCAAGAGCTATAGGGTGGTAAGACGATATATCAAGCATTGACTTGCCTGGTTTAAGTAGAGGAACTATTCTACTTTTTTTCCACGTCAGAGGTACAATACCGGTTTCCCATGAGATGTTGAAAAACGCTAGAAGCCGCGCCTTCGCCTCTGATCCCAGGTGGATTAGGTCTGAGTACCTCACACCGTCAGGGCCGGGTGACGATTTCGCATTTGTAGAACCAAGTGCAGCTTCCATTTCTTGCATACTAAACGGGTCATTCATTTTCCCGTTCGTTGTGGAAGGAATGGCAACATTAGCCTTGGATTTCTGCTGTTGGCTATTTGATGAGCTGGTGAGCATAGTGCAGTATTCTTCGGCTATACGTTTTTCAGAGCATTGCTTATGCAAAGCTAATGCCTTAAATGGACGCAGTTGATGGGGGGTGGGGGGTGTTTTTAGTCCACGCGCAATTTTCCATACGTCGGTGTATGGCTTTTTGGGGTCCATTAAAGCGCATATAGATTTTCAGCGTCGCCAACCAAGTTTTTGTAGGTGCCGCCTCGTGTGCCTTTGGGCCTTCCGGGCATCTCGCAAATCATTCGGGTCTTTTGTTCGTCTTACTTTGCGCTCTGCTCGACGGCGAATTGCGCGCAAGCGTTCATATTCTGAATCAATGGTGGATTGGTTACTTGAAAGGTTGTAAGTTTTGGTAGCAGCTTTCCTCGATTTCGGAATGTCGCTCTCGAACGTAGACAAGCTTGCAGTGTTCTTGCAAGCCTGCTCCATTGAGGTTTTATAAGTATCCCAGTGTGCTTGTTGAACTGTATTTCTATTTGGTGTGCCTTGAAACGACTCGATTATTATGTAGGTAGGAATATGGTCGCTTCCGCGCGTCTCGATATCAGTGAACCAGTCCGCAGAAGTGAGAATGGTGTTTGTCATAAATGACACGTCCAGACAGCTGCTGCAGGTTGTACCGCATAGATAAGTTTGGCTCCCGCCGTTTAATACTGATAGGTGGTGTGCAGCAGCGAGGTCAACCAGGCGTCTTCCTCGTGTATTCATGTGCAGACTTCCCCCTACTGGATGATGTGCGTTAAAATCGCCGGTTAATATATGCGGAGGGGGACAGTTGTTCAGAATGTCTTCGAGTCTTTTTTATTCAAATCTGACCCCGGGTGGAATGTATGCTGCAATTACAGAAACCTTACACTTTCCATGTTGGATGGTTACACACACATATTCATTATCCGGATGGTGTTGAACGTCGTAAGAAACATATGTGAGTTCTTTGCGCACAGCAATCATCACTCTTGCTGGTCCTGATATTCGTGCGGAGTGAAATACTTCATACCCCGAAAGGCGGAAGTCACTACACAGTTTAGATTCACATATGGCTAATATAGGAAAACGGTACTTCTGAATAAATTGACGAAAGTCCGAAAGACGTGCTTTCAATCCCCTGGCATTCCAATGGAAAATGGTAGCTCGTTGAATTTGATCCTCAATGAGAGAACCATCCTTGGATAAATGGGATGGCTGTGTCGATAATTTTAGTTAGTGTGCTGGCAAATGGTGATGAGAGTTGTTGAAATAAGACTCGGAGAGCATTGATTGCAGCCAGTAAAAGGCCACCGATATTCAGCGATGAAGAAGGTCTCGATGAGGTTTCCGGCAACGCTTGCCTATTTGGCTCAGGAGACCTCTCCACGTTCGACGTGTCCATCGCTTGTTCCTTGTCGGCATCGACTTGATGGAGGTCAAGTCCAGTATTTTATTTTCTGACGGACTCAGTCGAATGATGTTTTTGCCAATTATGCAGCGATTCCTCGACAGTGGGAGCTGGTGCCGTGGGATTAGTTGGTGTTTCTGCGACCTTGTCTGTATTGGCAGCCCTGTTAGGGAGGGGAGGAAACATCGCCGTGTCGTTAAGTGGAACTTCATTGTCCGTGGCTGGTTGTTTGGGGTTTAACTTGCGCTGGGCAACAACCAACTGTCTATGGCTGTCTTCTTGTGGATGTTGACTGTGGCATCACGTTTTGTAGTTTTCTAGATATTATTTCCCGAGGTGCTTCAGGAGCAGTAGACGATGACACTTTTTTGACAGCGGCCTTCGCCGTGCGGTAGTCTGCATGATTGGAGCGACGATATTCAGTAACGGCCTTTTCTTCGTGCCATTTAGGACATTGGCGTGAGGTAGAGGGATGTTCAAGTCCACAATTGACGCAATGTGGTGTCTCGTCACAATCGGTACCCTCGTGCTTGGTGCCGCATTGTATGCACAAAGGTGATATGCACGCTGCTGCGACGTGCCCTAGTCGTCCACATAGCTTGCATTGTGTTGGCTTCTCTAAGTACTGGTTTACCTTGTGGCGTACAAAGTCAATGTGAATAGCATCTGGGGCACGTGAAGTTGAACATGTAAGTGCTACAGACTGTGATATTCCCAGCCTGCATGCGTACCCTTATGACGGAGGGTTCTGATTTTGCGCATTCGAGAATTTCCTTCTCGGTGATATCAACCGATACACCATGAATCACACCAACTGCCATACTGCTCGTGCGTGGTTCATATGCTCTTACTTGAATGCCACACAATGTGGTGATGCGCAGAAGTGTTCTGGTTGTGTCAAAGTTACGTGTCTCCACGGCGAGGACCTTGCTTTAGTCTTAGTCTTGCGTTAGGACGAATGCTTATGATTCCTTCTGGGCAGTTGGCTTTTAGAGCACTGGTTAGCTTGACAGGATTAAGGGTTTTTATTTTGATCTGTGGATCTTGCGGTGTAAATATGACAACGTTTCCTAGTGCTGTGCCGTTAGGAATGGTCGTGTTCGCACTAGATCCAGAGCTTTTCCGGATTCGTTTCTTTTTTTTAGGGAGCAGAAATTCGCCTTCATCATCAGTTGAAGCTTCGCAACTTGATATTTCAGTTTCTGTCTCATAAGTTGTATTTTTCTCGATAGCTTGTTGTAGGTCATCTTGCCTTTGGGATGTAGTAGCCGGTGGAAGTGGTGAGGTCATTATCAGTCCTTGCGTCTCGTTAGAAAGGTGCTCACTCATGGATGTTGAGGGCGGTAGGTCAGGCTTTGAGCCTGGGTTGCTCTTGAAATGGGAAATTTGGCGTTGTGGCAATCTAGACGTTGCAGATGATCGGGTCCATGGGGCCGATGATGTCTGGAAGCCAAATATTTAGAACTGGGATCTTGTGACAGCTCCGTGGTCTGTAGAGGAGGCTTCTAAGATGTCATTTTCGTTGGTAAATGTTTTCAGAAACCCAAAAACGCAAAATTATTTGCAAAATTGCCGAGCACTAACAAAAAAAAAGCGTTCGTAGAGCACGGCAGCTTCTTCTTCTTTCCAAAACAAGTACTAACACCGCAATAAACTCTTTAGTAATAAGCCTTTAGTAGAATGATCGTCTAATTAGCTAATGTTACAGAGAACGGCGGCAACAATCTCCAGAAGGAAAAACTACAGGCGATGGTGTATACCTTTGCAAAAATCGCCTTCTGTGCGTCACCCTTTTTCTCTGCTGGGCTGTGGAACGCCTACTGCAGGAGCATGCGCTGTTACTCCGCTGTGCGGTAGATAAGACGCTGCGCATGCTTCCACAGCTCAGTGACTCAGCCTTTTTCGCTCGAATGATAAGCGATGGAAAGGTCTATACTGGGTTATAGAAACTCTAACTTCCATAGCCTACTGTACCCGCAGTGGTAGTTTTTCCTTCTTGAGATTATTGCCGCCGCTCGCGGTAACATTAGGTGATTATACGATCATCCTACCAAAAGTTAACCACTTGTTTAAAGAATGCTCATGCTAACGGTATTCGATAACATGTTAAGTTGCCCACTAAAACGACTAAAACAGTTTACCTACCCTGTGGATAGGCGCAAGTGTGCTGAGGTCCAGAGGCGGCCTCCGTCTCTGCAACCGAGTAGAACAATGTTACTAAAATGCAAGTGAGGCTATAAATGAACTGCCAACATTTAAAAATCCTCCTCGCGTATCGCACGACTATAGGGGTAATTTTTGTGAGCGGTCCCATTTTATTGAAGGCCCGTACAGAAAGCATCATTCACACCCAGGCGGCACGATAGAGAAACGCTTAAATCGGTCTAACTTTGGCAATCATATAGGATCTTACTTTACCGAATAAGTTTATGCACCAAAACGTTAGTTAGTGCTAAAGTAGTTTTCTCTGCCTTTCCTATGACTTTTTTTCTAGTTCGCCACACAAGCGACAGAGAGCCAAACATGAGCCAAGTTTGCCAAGTATCAACCGAAGAACCACCAGCATTAAAGTCTAATTTTGGCACAGGCTTGGAAATATTGGCCCGAAGTTGCCAGGTGAAAACCGAACAACCGGAAGTTAAGCCTAATTCTGGCACTTCCGCGGGAACTGAGGTCCAAAGGAGCCAGGTGACAAACGAACAAGCAGAACTCGATGAAGCCTATATCCTGCACTTGTTTGGCCATTTAAGAAAGGAAATACCTAGACTTAAGAGTATCAAGTTTGGTTACCTGCCCTTATATGGCTTTCAAATTCCTAAATCGCAAGCGGAAAAAAAGAAGTTTCCCTGTCAAGAATCGTGCAATTTGGACAAACTGGTGTTCGACTGCGCTTGGCTTTGCAATTACTTGTGTTGAGGCATATACACCAGGGTGAACCACCCCTGCACCTAAGCGACGCCACGTTTGGCTTGTAAAAGGTAACTCCAAGTTGCGTCTCGAATCAAATCTTCGCAAAGCAGGCTCGAATACGACTGGCGACTGTCTTCCACGAGTGATACACTAATTTAATTCCCACATCAGGATTACAGCGATTATTTAACTTGCATTATATCTAGATGCTTCGTCTGCGGTTGGCACCACACTAGCAAGGACCGCATATACCAGACCGTTCAAATAATTTTCTTCCGCGCGCTGTCTTTGTTGCCAACTGGACAATGGAACCAATACTGAACGTGTGCAGTAGCCCTTTTCTGTGAAATATAAAAACGACACGCGTGATGACTCCGCATTTTTCACCTGAGCCATGGCGCTGGAAACGTGTGCACAAAATGGGGAGGAAGAATACGGTGTCGTCCAGTTCATCTTGCTGTCACGAGTCTCTTACTTCCCGTTACGACGCTCACGATCATCGTCTTTGTGCGTGTCTGGTTTAGCCACTGATAGCAAACGAACCAATGACATGGAGCCATGACGACGCACTTTTAGCGGCGCTTCATTGGCTTCGTCGGATCGTATACGTCTGCGCTCAGAGTTCAGTGGAGTATAAAAATCCTGCAACATCGCGTCAGTTTGGTATTAATACTCCGAGAGACCGCAAGGCTAACTCCGCAAGTTGGTACCTAACACTCCGCATCCAGACTCCGCAAGACCAACGTTTAGTCGACCCTGAATCCACTAAATGAACACGATCAAGCTGTGTTAATTGGCCGGTATCGTAAAAAAATTATTAGCCCCAAAAACTCCCTCACACTTATCCTCATGTAGTACGTCATACGAACGAAAGACACGGAGTTAGCTGCAGAGGTGCTGACGAAATTATCTGCGTACCCGATATGTTTAAACGCTCCGAAAACATGTCTGAAGATAGTCTTGAGACATGTCTGAAGACAGAGAAACACGCGCCTCAGACCGTGTCTCCAGACTCGTCTTTGGTTCAATGTGTATTTGCGGTGTGACATCGGCTCGACACGTTCCGACTGCAGACCAACGTAAAGCAATGAGCATGGAACGTGGGTCGAAATATACTCACTACAGGTTACGGCGAAAAGAAACGCCAGCACGAAGACCACCTTGACGGCGCTCGCAAAGGTGACTGCCATTATTTCTGCGTCTGGTACGACTGCTGTTGTCGAAGAAGAGGACAGGTGATGACTACGGTGAGACGCTGAGCCTCATATATCGCTTACTCGCTAGGCAATATTTTGATCCGCGTGGCGATGTGCTGAAAAAAAAGAACTAGATTTTATTGTTACGAAAAAAGAATATAAGTAAAACGTCAGGTGTGCCACGTGCGTGTTCCCAAACCCTGCCAGTCTTTTTCAAAAAAATATTTCTGCTGAGCTTCTGCGGGTTAAACTGGAAAGCGAGGACAAAATCGTTAATTAAATTTCTCATCTACGAAGCGTTCCATTTTAGAAAACAGTTTTACGACCAGAACTATGCATTATTTTTAAAGAAAGGTCACACCGGGAATTGTAACCGCACGTGTTTAAGGAGCACGGGTATAGACTGATTTAGTATACTTTTTTCCCTTCGGTTTTGTCGGTCTCTTTCACCAAGCTGTTGTGGCTGATTATTGAAAAGCCTGAAATGCTTTTTTATCGGAACCTGCCCAGTCCCAAAATGTTGACCGTCCGTCCGTCAGTCCTTCACTGCAATTCACGCTAAATTTAGCGGGAAACTTGACGTCGGGTGACTCGACGTCACGTGACCTATAAACATTTGCAAGCAGCCGCGCTTCGAGAGCTAGTCTGGCCACCATTCACGGAAAACGCTTTGTTTAGGCGGCAGTCTGGAAACCAGGGGTATGCATCAGCAACGCTTGACGATCAGACGATCTACTGACACCAGTAGGAAGATGGCGGTGCCCAGGGGCCGTACCTGCTAACGTCTATGGAAGGATACAATTAGCCTTCTAAATTTGGTTGGAACGTGAGCTTACCGGACCTTGCCTCGCTTGACCATCCCACCAATTCTGTTTCCCAGCTAAATTTAGCCTGAAAATTGTTGTCGCGTGACCTGACGTCAGTTGACATGTACACCTACTCGGTTCCCTCACTAAATTTGGCGGGAAAATTTACGTATGGTGACCTGACGTGCGTTGACCTATATACACCAATTCAGGTTCCACGTAAAATTTGGCGGGAAATTCATGTCACCTGACCTATGAATAAAGTCTGCTTCCTTGCTAAATCGATAAAATCTAGGGTCTTCTTCGCTCCTCGAAAAGGCTTTTAATGCCTCCTAAAAATGTAAGCGAAAGATCCTTTAATAGCCGCATTTCGTGCATTATATGCCACTTGGTAGACAAAGGTCGCTGTCAGTTTTAATAAACATCTAAAGTATACATGGGGTTACATATATTGTCATAGAAGAAGCAAAAACGACAACAACAACAGCAATCACAACTGGAGATTTAGCTTAGGTATAGTCACTAGAAAGTTTAAGAATCGCAGGGCGCGGTTAACTCTTTTCGCCCTTCCTGCTTCGTGATTGGATCTTCGATTTCCGTATCGGCTAATACAGCAATCTGATTGGTTCCAGAGCGATAATGAGATGCACCGCACTCGTCCCGCCTTACGTTTCTTAAATGGATGCTGAACCGAAGAATTTAGTGCCCATAATAAATGGCGCACGTTCTTTCCACGAGCCAGCAGCCGCCGGTGTGCACGAGCACACGCAACAAAAATGACGTCAAAGACCTCCATTCGCGGTTAAAGGGGCGATGCAACGACTTTTGTATTTTGCGCAAAAACCGCTTAGAACGGATCCCTGACGTTAATGACCTGTGAAATACCCGTTCGTTTTTCACCACACGCAATTGAAGTCGAAGAAAAAAAATTAAGAAAAACGGGCAGAGCTCGCCCCCTCAACTCGCAGTCGGAACAAGCGGCCACGTGATCTGGAGCCGATTATATGCCGCCAATGTTGATCATAGCCACGCGCTGGGGTTGGCAAAGCACAGGACACGCGCTGAGTTCCGGACATTGTAATGGCTCGGCTATTGTCGTCGTTGCAGCGATTGGACACAGGACACTACCCGAATGCTTCTCGAGATATCGATTATCACGAGCCACAATCGAGTATTCATGCCATGCTCGGGTCCAATCTATGAGCCGCATTCAAATATCGTCACTGGGCGGTACTGCTACCGCCGAGCTACGTCATCAGGTTTTGCGAAGGAGAGATTGAATGAAAACACTCGGTTTTGTCCTCAAAATTACAGCGCAACAAAGAAGTTTCTTGGTCAGTGGCGTTGCTTGCGAGTATCCTTGAGTCCCACTACTGCCAGTAAACTCGTGTGAAGTGAAAAATATTCCCGTTGAATATCGTTGCACCGCCCCTTTAAGATGACAGTGAAATGTATAGGCTTCGGGCTAAAGGAGAATAAAGACAGGCTTTCCAACTCTACAAGTGAAAGCTAGGTGCTTGTTAGACCAATTAATCGCTTACCTTTTACACCAGACACCACTGTGTAAATGAAAAACTTGTCTTTATTCTCCTTTGGCCCGAAGCCCATACATTTCACTGTCATCTTAACCGCGAATGGAGGTCTTCGACGTAGCTTTTGTTGCGCGTGCTCGCGCACACCGGTCGCTGCTGGCTCGTGGAAAGAACATGCGCCACTTATTATGGACACTAAATTCCTTGGTTCAATATCCCTTGAAAAAAAAAAAAAGAGAAAAATGAATGTGTTTAACACACATAAAACACCATGTAATAACTTATTTGCGACTTACTTATCATATGCAAGTCCTGCAAAGTTGAGTGAACAAACCGGGTGAGAATAATTTGAACGCGAAAGCATTAACTGTCCCATGGGGCGAACCGGCGTTATCAGCTTTTGAAGCCGTGCGCCAAACGTCACTTAAATTCCCCTGTCCCATTGGAGCGAAGCCTGTAGTCTCTTGCAGCGAATTTATGGATAGGATCCCATTGGCTGGCGCGCGTCATAGTTTCAAGGAGCAAGGCTCCCATTGGCTGGCACGCGCCATAGTCTCAAGAAACGCCACCCCACGGCGCTGCGAGCCCCGTGGCGGCTCGCAGCGCCGTGGTTGCGGCTGAGTTGCGGTGAGCGGACGTGTTTCCTGGTTCTCCTCGAGCATCCGAAGCTAAGTGCCAGTTTTTCTTCTTTTCTCTCTCTTTTTTTGAGAGTTGATTGGAAGTGACTATGGGTAGCAGTATTAGGTTTGAACAGCAGCAGTTAACGTTAGTTTCGCAAAGTAGGCTCTGTTTGAATTTTTGGCGGGAAGGGACGGTTTGTTCCCGGTCTAGACATGGGTCTAGATTTGGGTCGGCATGACAAGGGTGGGGACGAGTTGGTGCAGTGCGAGGGGTGTGGGAGGTGGTGTTACCTGGAGTAGACGGGTTTCGGGAGCCTGGAGGAGGCGGCGGGGGTGAGTTTCGAGTGTCGGCTTTGTGTGAAGCTTCAGCAGGTAACTGGGGAATGGGAGGGTAGAGTTCGGGAGATTGAGGCCCAGCTTAAGGCAGAAGGAGAGAAGCGGGTGGGTCTCGAGGCCCAGGTAGAGGAGCTGACTAGGCAGCTTAATCACGAGAGGGAGCAGCGGGTCGGCCTCGAGAAGCAGGCGGAAGAGCTGGGGGAAGTATGGAAGGCGGGTTTAGAGGAGCGTAAGAGGGAGTGTGACAGTAGGGTAGAGCGCCTGGAAGGGGTAATTCGAGCGAGTGAGAGTAGCGAGGGAAGAAAGGAGGAAGTGTCTGTTCTAGCGGGACGAACCACCAGTCTGCAGGCTGGGGTCCCTGGTGGTCGGGAGTCCGGCCTGTTGGCAGGCGGGCTCGACGACGCTGGAGAGCTGATTGAACCTCAGCTCAATGGCGCCTTCGAGCAGCAGGCGTCGGGCAGTCAGGTGACAGGAGATAAGTCGCAGGACAAAGGCGCGCAGGCACCAGGGGGATCTAGGGTACTGGTAGTGGGGAACTCTAACGTAGCACGGGTTAGGAGGGGTGTACATAACAGGGTGAAGGGAGACCAGAGGGTAACCGTAGAGGTCCAGCCAGGGAAGTGTATGGTGGATGCTATGACCGCAGCACGTGAGGGGGTGTGGGATAACCGGGAGGGAAGGAACCTAGTAATAGTTCATGCGGGGCTTAATGATGTGCTGAAGGGCAGGAGCCAGAACCTCGGAAAGCAGCTAAACGTGGGAATACGTAAGCTGAGGGACGTGTCTGAGAATATGCATGTGGTTGTGTGCACCATTCCAGAAGTTCGGGGGCAGTCCGGGTTAACGGAGAGGAGGGTTGTCGAAGCCAACGGAGTAATTAAGGGTATGAGTCGACAGCTTCGGTACGACGTAATGGAAGTAAACAGAGAAGTGTACGAGGCTGGCTCCCGCCCTTTTGCAGATGGCATTCACTACAGTGAGGCCACGGGTTACAGGCTGGGGGATAGGATGGGCCGCACGGTGACTGCTTTTTTGGGGGGACCGAGGGCCCTGGGGGCACTGAAGTAACTGAAAACCCAACGAAGTCAGGAGAGGCACCCAGGGTTAAAAAGAGGAGAAAACGTAAGAACAGGTATAAAAAACAGCACAATCAGACATTGGATATATTAACATGCAGGGTGGTAGAAATAGGTTAAAATGGGAAGAGGTAGAGGAGCAACTAAGAAAGGAGGATTTAATGGTGTATGGGTTTGTGGAAACACATCTCAGAGACATGGAGCAGCCACCTTGCAACCCTGACTATGTGTGGGAAGAATGCAACAGAATGGAGGGAACGAGGAAGGGAGGTGGAATTGGAGCATTTATTAAGAAGAATATGAACTTTCAAAGGATCAGAAAGGAGTGCGCCGAACATTTGTGGCTGAAAGGAAAAGTCGCTGGGGAATCTACAGTCCTTGGAGTGGTTTACTTATGGACAGGGACAGGTGCTAAAGAGGAAAACAGAAAAATGATTGATTGCATATCAAGAGACATTAGTGAACTAGGGGAAGGCTCCGAAATAATTATTATGGGAGACATGAATGCCCATATTGAGGGTCTGGATGGGCATACGGACTCAACTGGAAGCATATTACTAGAACTGGTGGAAAAACATGACTTAGTTTTATGTAATACCAGTCAGAAGTGTGACGGGCACATAACTTGGGAAACTGGCAATCTGCATTCAAATATAGATTACGTACTCATGTCACACAAAATATAGGGTAAGTTACAAGTAATGAAAATAGATGAAGAAGGTTCCAAAAGTCTTGGTAGTGATCACAAACGTATTAAGCTCCATTTTGCCAGAGAAGTAAATGCTGAAACTAGACAACATAATTCAAAGCAAACTTTCTGCAGCGACAAAGAGTTGGAAATAGTTGTTGAAAGAATAGAGGCAGCAGTTTCAGGGCAACGGCATACAGATTGGACCTATGAGAGCCTAACTAGGCTTTTTGCTCTAGAACTAGACAAAGTTAAGAGTAAACGAAAGGGGAAGCAAGGACATAGACCAAAAAGTTGGTGGGACAAAGAAGTGAAGCAAGCGATACAAAAACGTCAGGAAGCCTCTAGAGAACACAGGTATTCCAAGCGTAGTGGGGAGTCCGAAACGGAAGTAAAAAGAAAATGGGACAATTTTATAACATGTCGCCGAGAGGCATCCAGTTTGATCAATGCGAAAATTCAGAGAAAGGGTGAGGAATGGATGAGTAATGTAAGTAAGAAAGATAGAAACGCTGCCAAGAAGTTTTGGGAGCACTTGAACTCACTCGGTGAAACAACGCAAGCTAGACAGAGGTTCATACTCTCGCATCAGGGAGATCAATTAGAGGGAGATGATGCGATACAATATATAGGAGCAGTGATGGAGGAGAAATTTCGGGAATGGTTACATGTGGAAGATAGGAGAACCGAAGGAAGTAGCAGTCCAGTTTGTGACATCGCGGATTTTGGACAAAGAGAATGGGAAAAGGCGGAACGAAGAGTCCCTAGTGGCACATCGACAGGCACAGATGGTATCCCTATCAAGCTGGTGAAGAATTTGGGTCCTAAATCTAAGGCAAAACTAAGGGAGGTAGTGAGTACCATGATAACAAAAGGAAATATTCCAGATGAATGGAGGCTTAGTAGGATGAGTATGATATATAAGGGAAAGGGAGATAAGTCTGATATTAGGAATTATCGTCCTATAACCGTGACACCGGTTATTTACCGGTTGGTAATGCGGATTATAAAGAACAGACTGGAGGAATGGGTAGATTGCGAGGGCATACTGGGCGAGTTACAGAACGGGTTTCGAAAACAAAGAAGGTTGGAGGACAATTTATTTTCTCTTACACAGTGTATAGAAATAGCGCAAAAAGAAAACAGACAGCTCTGGCTGGCATTTCTGGATATCAAGGGTGCCTATGACAATGTGAACCAAAGAAACCTGTGGGACATAATGGAGAACTTAAACCTAGATGAAGGACTAACAGCACTATTAAGGAACATTTACAAAGATAACAAGGTGATTATAACTTGGGAAGGAAAGGCGACAGGGAAAATAGAGATAAGACGAGGCCTTAGGCAGGGGTGCCCGTTATCGCCTTTGCTGTTTATGTTGTATCTGAGAGGATTGGAGGATAGACTAAAGAGTGGGCTTGGGTTCAACCTTTCTTACAGTAAGCTAGGCCAAAAAATTCAGCAATCCTTACCGAGATTGATGTATGCGGATGATATTGTACTAATGGCTGACAATAGGACAGAGTTGCAGGAATTAATGAGCATCTGTGGTAGGGAAGGAGAGGAATTACGTTTAGAATTCAGTAGCGAAAAATCGGCAGTCATGATTATTAACGAGGATGAAGTTGAGAGGCTGAAGATACAGAATATTACAGTTGAGAGAGCTAGTAAATACAAGTATCTAGGAGTATGGATATGTGATGGTGCAGAATATCTCAGAGACCATGAAAAGTATATAGTAGGTAAGGGCAGCAGAAATGCAGCTGTAATGAAAAATAGAGCACTTTGGAATTACAACAGGTATGAGGTGGTGAGAGAGATTTGGAAAGGGGTCATGGTGCCTGGCTTGACTTTTGGAAACGCAGTGCTATGCATGAAATCCGAAGTGCATGCGAGACTAGAAATAAAACAGCGCGGAGTAGGTAGACTGGCTTTGGGGGCACATTGCAAAACGCCAAACCAGGGAGTACATGGAGACATGGGATGGGCATCATTTGAGAGCAGGGAAGCGGTGAGCAAGGTAGAATTTGAGGATAGGTTGAGGCAAATGGACGTGGAGCAATGGGCACGAAAGGTTTTCAGCTATTTATACATGAGGAGTGTAGACACAAAGTGGAGACAGCGCGCTAGGAAATTAAGAGGAAAGTTTTTGGGCTATAGCGAAGATACGGAAGAGCAAGTCTCAGTTAAGAAGAAAGTTAAGGCCACAGAAAGAGATCGGTGGCTAGAGGGAATGCAGACAAAGACGGCTCTGGAAAGCTATAGATTAAACAAAAGAGTTATTGCCAAAGAAAGCATTTATGACAATTCTAGGGGAAGCTCATTGCTGTTTGAGGCAAGAACGGGTGTTCTGCGCACCAGAACGTACAGAGTGAAGTACCAGGAAATGGATACAGTGTGCACTGCTTCTGGAGAGGAGGACGAGACGGCTGAGCACTTGATACTCTACTGTAAAGGGCTTCACCCTATGCCTACCGAAGACAACATAGATTTAATAAAGTCATTGGGTTTTAGAGACAGCGAAGGGAGAGTGGATTTCAAGACTGTAGAGATTACCAAGCAAAGATTAAGTGAATGATGGCA